AAGTCGGAGTCGGGGCTTGAACCGTCAACCCTTCAATTTCAGGGCAAACTTCTACATCCAACGCCACTGTCGACCAAGAGTCACCTCTGCTGCAGAGGATAAGTTCATCCGAGTCACCAGCCTCAGAAATGGCAGGTTAATAGCAGCTCAGATTAGAGAGCAGTTCAATGCCACACAGAGTTTTAGCAGCAGAAACATCTCTAGAACAACTGCTAAGAGGAGACTGTGTGAATCAGGCCTTCATGGTAAAATAGCTGCTAGGAAAACAGGCAACAAGCAAAAGAGACTTGCTTCGGCTGAAGAACACAAGAAATGGATATTAGACCAGTGGAAATCTGTGCTTTTGTCTGATGAGTCCAAATTTGAGATCTTTGGTTCCAACCATTATGTCTTTGTGCTATGCAGAAAAGGTGAACGGATGGACTCTACATGCCTGGTTCCACCGTGAAGCAAGGAGGAGGAGGTGTGATGGTGTGGGGGTGCTTTGCTGGAGAGACTTATGGGGATTTATTCCCATAAACTGAACCAGTATGGCTACCACAGCATCTTGCAGCGGCATGCTATTCCATCCGGTTTGCGTTTAGTTGGACCCTCATTTATTTTCCAACAGGACAATCACCCCATCCACACCTCCAGGCTGTGTAAGGGCTGTTTGACCAAGAAGGAGAGTGATAGGATGCTGCGCCAGATGACCTGACCTCCACAATCATCAGACCTAAACCCAATCGAGAGGGTTTAGGGTGAGCTCGACCGCAGAGTTCAGGCGAAAGGGCCAACAAGTGCTAAGCATCTCTGGGAACTCCTTCAAGAATGTTGGAAGACCATTTCAGGTGACTACCTCTTGAAGCTCATCAAGAGAATGCCAAGAGTGTGCGAAGCATTAATCAAAGCAAAACTCTGAAGAACCTAGAATATAAGGCTACATTCACACTGCAGCCTGAAGTGACCCAAATCTGATTTTTTTGGCCCATATGCGACCTGTATCTGATCTGTTCATGGCGGTCTGAACAACACAGATCCAATTTGTTCCAATGCGACCCAGGCCACTGGGCTATGTGGTCCTGAATCCAAAACGAATCTGATCTTTTCAAATGCGACCTGTGTCTGAACGGCCAGGTCGCATTCATCGGACCTGAACGCCATTAATAGCCAACAAAGGTCACTATTCTGGGTCTTGCTATGAAGAAGCGGCAAGGAAAACTACAACCATGGCGGACGATGATGCGGAGAGCAGTATTTATGTTTAAACATCTTGAAAATATTATGTTTATGTTTTTATGGTTGGGAAAAACCGCTAGATGTGCTCCTGCACTACCACCCATGTTAAAATCCGTAAACAGAGAGCACGCTGGCCTGTGATGTCATTGCGTCCTCTACTGCGCATGCGGGACACACAGGAGATCACATACAAGTCGCATACATTTGGAAATGTGTACGGCAACGCAAAAAAAATCGTATTTCACAAAAAAAATCAGAATTGAGCTTCAAGGCCTGCAGTGTGAACGTAGCCTAAGACATATTTTCAGTCATTTCAAAATTTTTCTTTAAGTATATAATTCCACATGGGTTAATTCATAGTTTTGATTCCTTCAGTGTGAATTTTACATTTTCGTAGTCATGAAAATAAAGAAAAGTCTTTAAGTGTGTCCAAACGTTTGGTCTGTACTGTACATAACCTTTGCATGCAAACAGCTATTGGGATGTGGCACATTAGTAAAACTTGTAGTACTAGTTGGACCTGTTGTGAACGCTGCACAAAAACAAAAAAAAGGGCTTTGTACCGAGGTGAAACAGGAATGTTAACCCGTTTTGCTGCATTACATTGAATTCTCTAGGTTTTCTTCAAACATAGAATTAAAAAGCCAACATTAGTGATAAAAAAAAAGTGGGGATACTGTACCTCATCACTGCTGGAAGAAGATGAAGATGAGCTGCCTCCATCTTTCTTTTCCTTCTTTCCCTTCTTCTCCTTCTTTTTCTTCTTTTCACCACTGCCATCCTTAGACTTGTCTTTGTGGTCAGACTTGTCTTTGTGGTCAGACTTGTCTTTGTGGTCAGACTTGTCTTTGTGGTCAGACTTATCTCCCTGAGAAAAGAAAAAGTTGCACCTCATTCACCCCGATAAAAATTCAGAACCAAACTGATCAAAAACCCTCCATCTATTAAAATGTTTTTTCTCCCATGTGAAACTCATGCAAGCCTAAAAAGATCTTCCAATTAAAAACACTTGTGCATCTGGAGGTGACTGGTGTACAATCAATCCCCTTCCCTCCTACCTTCTTGTCCTTATCCTTTTTTTTGCTCCATGGGAGGCCAAACTCGTCCTTCTGAGCTTCCTCCTTCTTCACTTCATCCTCTTTTCCTCCCACAGCTGTAAATGAAACAGAAGTTGGATTATTTTTAAACCTGCATCAGTTCGTGAGAGAAAGCATTTCCAAAGTGAAACTCTCTCTAAACTTCCAGACACTGAAGGATCCAAATCAGCAGAGAAAGCTGGAAATAACCAATGATCTTGTATATAAATGTACCTGAAGACAGATCGAAGGACATTTTGTTGGTGTTTCTCCAAACGTTGCAGCCACTGACACTTCCCTTCTCTGACTTCCAGGAAAACAATTTGAGCCGCACCTATAGCACCTTCCCCACGCAGAGCCACGCCTCTAACAGCCTGCACTGATGGGATCCGCCTCATTATTTCACCAAGGGGTGGAGGGAAATTGTTTTTTTCCATTCCATTCTTGCAAGCAAAATAAATGTAATCCAGAAATAAACTCAAACTGGAGTTTATTAATAAAGAAAATTAAATTCTAAGAGAAACGTTGCTGTTTTGTCATAAAGTCAATGTGCGCTTCCAGAGTTCCAGAGTTTTTAGTATTAGGATTGAAGTGAAGAGAATGTGAAGGGAATGTTATCTTCACTAAACTAAATCTGAAAAAAAAAAAATTATTTAAAACAAACAAACAAACAAAAATCTTAGAAACAGCAAAGGTTTGAAATAAAACCTTTTTTTAATGAAAAAATGCAAAAGTTGGTGGTGAAGATTTGACTTCCGGTGTCATGGTGGCATCGTAGTTAATGTGAGAATCAGTGGCTGTGTGTATGGATGACCAACTCTGCCATATTTGAAAATAAATACAGAAATAAATAAATGCTCAATAAATATATAAGCATACAATTAATTGCCAACAAAAATACAATAAACAAATAACTGTAAGTAGAAATTAAATTATACAGTGAGACATAAATGTATATAACTCTTTTAATTCGCTTCTTTATTTATTTGCCATTGTAATATTTACCTCATTTATTTTTTTTGTCCTTTATATATATTTTTTTACATTTCTGCCTGTCGTATTTACATTTCTGTATGCATGTCTGTCTTATTATGCAAATGAGGAGGGGGCGTGTCCTAGAGAGTTAACTTCTCCTCATTGGTTGGCTTGGCGGTCCATCTTCTTAACTCACTGAGCTCAGAGTACTAAGTTAAATGTTCTCTTTTCTGTTGCTGTTGTTCAATAAAAGTACGTTTTAAGATCATTTGAGGCGAGAACATTATACTTTTAAGCATCGCCATATGGCCCATTCACAGATTTAATGAGTAATTTAAAAGAAAATGTTCAGAACTTGAGAGGACCGCGGCACCAGCGGTGCTCTGAAGCTAGCGGGAGCCAGGTCGAACCGCAGCCCGTCTGCAGCGGCCCTCTCTCGGCATAGCCGTGTGTGAAGCATGTTGCTTAGCATATTACTACATCGGTCGATTCTACAGGAGGAGAGTCTGATGTCAAGTCTGAAGTCATTAGAACGCGAGTAGGGACTTTGCCAAACTTTGCCAAATACAACAAAAAATCAACATCATAGCCAGCGGTCCTTCACAACATTCACCTGTTATATCGCTGCTGCTTATCCTGAGCTATCTCTATAGTTATGCTGCTATAGGTTTAGACTTCTGGAGGACATAGCAACCGCCATTTCATCATTCTATGTCTATTCTCCCACTCTGCAGAATCTG